AGCTCGAAAGAGACTGTGAAGCCAATGGAGGGGGGATAGCTTTCCCTCTCTTCAACGTGTCACGCGTGTCGACAGGCGCTCCGTTTGCTTGTACATTTCGGGGGTTCTAGCAAATGAAATACTCATAGAAACTTGTGACACGGTGGTTAACTAAAACATTAAATAGAAATGCAATTTTAAGTATTCAAAGTCCAAGGAATATCCAGAAACTTAAAACATTTATCTTCAGACATAAGTAAACAAATTTGCGAAGCAAACACACTATTACAAACAATATTCTCCGCTGTGTTTTTTGCAGTTTTTCTAATGAAGGTAGGAAGAAAGACCTTCATTATTCGTGGACCAGAGCTGTACGTCGAGAAAATTTGAAGCAATTGGACTTCAAACCAAAAGATAAAGACTTAACATGGCAAACTAGATGTCTCCGAGATGGTGCGGAGACTTATGTTTGTTTTTCAAAATTCCCAATATATATGCAGAAGATAACCTATGCGAGCACTTACAAATGTCTAAAGCAGAAAATATGTGTTCGCAAATGTGACATCGAGCCAAACAATGACGTTTCCGCTCCAACTTTAAACATACGCGGGTAATTTCTTCTCTGAAATTCTCGAAGAATTGAAGTTGATTGCCTCATATCAATTTATACTTTCCTCTTAACTCAGAGTCGCAATGTAAATCAAAACTTTCCAATTGAAATTAACTGTCAACAGCACGAAAATTAACAGACAAGGACTTGAAAAATAGATCCACGGTTTGTCTGAAAAATTTAATGTTGTGATGAATACTCCATACAATCTCCTAATATTGAAAATAAGAGGTTTTATTAAGATATATTATTATTATTATTATTATTATTATTATTATTATTTAGTCATGCATGGATTCAAAGATATACAGTGAATATTTGTCACTAATTTGCCTATTCCATAAATCAGTTTTCCGCTTCAACATTTTTTATGGCAATGATAATCACGTGATCTCTACCATGGAAGGCCACATTTAATTCTTTCAAATGCTGCCTCACAGAAAAATTCAATATGTGCCTATCATAAAGGATCCAATATTATCTTCCCTTCTAACTCTAACAATCTTGCAATCTCTTCCAGCAGCTCAAACACGTCGCCCAGTTAATCTATCTGACTTGTATTTAATTAGGAATATGTTTGAATTTGGCATTACCTTTTACGAATACTTATTGTCTCTGATTAAAGCCACTGAATTTATACACATTTTAAAACAATATCATTATTTCAACTTAATTTTTTGTTCCATAAATTATTTTGATGTAGAAGGTTGGTACGCTGCGGAAAAGTTCAGTATTTAGGGTGCATTATTAAATTTAGCAATCAAACAACTATTCACTCCAATCATATAGGGAGCACCATTCATGGCAATGAAAAATAATGATGCCCATGAAATACTGTGACCTTCGACGATTATGACTGATTCCTTTAAAAGATTTCCCTGATCGTGTATTCTTCAGGAGCATTATGTTCAATAACTCTTCAATTACTCAGAGTTCGTCATACGCGACCTGAACCAGCCTACCTAATTGGCCAGTCTCTGTGCAGTTAGTTGTTCCAGACCAAGTGAAGGAATACTTTACACGTTTGAGAAAATTTTTTTGGAACTGGTTTTCCACCTTTGTAGCTAGTTCTTGTATTTCACACGTGGCAGTTCGCCATAATAAATCAAAGATTTTGAATTTACCTGAGTGCTCAGGGGCAATTTGCATCATCGCCTTCATCCTGCACATCTTCCCTCGCTCGCCTTTCTTTAATATGCGTACATTTCTCGCAGTCCCGAAACATATTTAATAGCAAGCCCTTAGTGTGGTTTGACTTACACGCACTCCAAGATTGGCCTCATCTTATGCAAGAAAATCTTTCAGAAAGGGATCAGGTAGTCTCTTTTGTCATCTGCTGATTTCCTGAATTTGCTAGTATGGTAAAGCCGGTATTGCCGCTCCAAATTAATTCGTTCTTCAAGTTTATAGTTTCTTCTTGCTCACTAAATATTGAAATACGCCATTATTTGCAACAAATTTTCTTACTCCCGATGTGTTTTCTGCGGGTGCGAATTTAAGCTTCTGTGCTTCTTTACAGAATGTTCACCCCCGCATGTGCGATTATTAACGTTGAAGTTGGCAAAACACTTTGAATCGCGTCAATGGTCGGATTAAAAAAAGAAATCCTTTGACAACTTCACGATACGTAGAGCGTGTATGTCGAATCATCCAATCAGTACGTTCAACCGGTGTGTCGTTTAGGGGGAAGAGAAGGGTTGTGGTGCTAGACGAATATCACTGTGCATCTACGAGACGCAGTTGTACATCTTTGAGAAGATGATTATTTGGACAGATGATTCCAGTACACAATGTACGTCCATACACCAATGCCTATTTTTTTTTATTGTGACAGAAACTAGTTTCATTACAGAATACCACATATCTCCATAACTTTCTCCAATTACGTCGTACTAAATTCATTGTAGGTGTGCTGAGAAGTTGGGCAGGGTGAGCGGTAATTTACTAAGACCGAAGACCTTTCGTCAGAAAACGATTTTTCTTTGTTCAGATACTCCCTCTGCCACTGGAATCCACCCAGCCACGACATTCATCTTTTGTGATATGTCGGATGATCCGTCTGCGTCTAGTGAGTGTAAGCTTTTGGTTTTCCATAAAAAAAAAACTAAAAACAATAGTTTACCAACATCCACATCTCCACAATCCTTAAGCAATGGGACCATACGAAAAAACACCTTTAGAGAAGCCAATAATGAGTGGTCTCTTCAAGTAAGTCAACTGAACAAATTGACTGTCACTTGTTATTTTTTTGCTCTACACTAACTCATACCAGTCATATTATTTTCTTCCCCCAATGGATCCCGTTGAAATTTTCACTTCTTTGACAACTTTTTTTTTCTCCTAGCACAAATCTGAACCTTCAGGTTTTCGTTCTGTATAGACTTAATAGAAAAAGCTTAAATATTTAAATGGAAGCATCTGGTTCATTGTAGAGAATTTGGATTATTCACTTTCTTGTGATGCGTTTAACTTGCGAAGACAGATCACGTACAGAAGAGATTTATTTACTAAGTTGCGGATGTAAGACATCGACTTCATACATTCCTGTTATTGACAGCGCATTAGAAATATTGTGTACGCACAAAATGGAGGAATAAGTGATTAAGAAACCAATTATTTGCAAAAGATTTTTGCATGTATCTCAAGGAAATGAATGAGAAATTTTAAAGTACACATGATGCTGAGAATCTGTCAAAAATACATTCAGCAATAAGTCACAGCTGTCTAGTAAACAAGTTCGCGGCAAAAGGAAACTGATGTTGAATGATTAGCTCCAAGACGCCCGAATGACGATGATCGATTCAACAAGAGTTGGAGTTGAACGCCCGAAGGAAGAAATGAGTGCGAAGTCAACGAGCACGTGTGACGCCATGTCCTTTTGAGTGTCATAAAAAGTCTTGAACGAAAAAAATGATCCCGGAAGAAAGCTCACTGAAGTCGAGGAACAGGTGGCTGCCTGACGAAGGGAGACGCCATTTTGGAAAGGCGGGAACGCCGGCAAGTCGAAGGGCCGAGGTAACAGGTCAGATCTCGTTCGTTAATCAGATGGATACTTGCCATTTTCTGCACATAATAGAAAGACAATGCAATTAGATTTATAAGCAACATCGTTTTGAAAGTCAGTTGGGACAGAAAATGAGTATTTTGCACAATTTTTAAACTTCGTTTAATTTTCAATTTAATTACTTGATTTAGTTTTGTATAAACACAATAAAGGTAAAGAATACTTAAATTTCTTATAAAACATGTGTAAATATGTGTGTTCCATGTGTAAACGTGTGTTAGTTGCAAGTGAAGCATAAGTAAAATCAAACCTTTCAAAAATTTGTTAACAAAACTCGCCATTTTTTCATCCTCTCTTCTCCCATTATACACTTTCGAAACAAAAATATTTTACCCCTTCAAGTAAAGTCCGTACTCACCACAAACCTTCAGTCTTGATTGTTGACAAAATTATAATAATATAATATTAGTAGTACTATAAATAAACTGTGTACAAGAGAAAGAAATAATTAGTCTAATTTTTTCCAATGAAAAACTGTTTTTAAGGCACTTTTCATACCAGTTCTACAAAACTGATTTAAATGAGTGTACTTGTTTTTGACGTGCGTACACTTTTCCACACACTCTCTCCATAGTACAGTATCGTAACAAGTTGAATGAGCTTACATTATTAAGCAAACAAAAATGTCCAAATCATTACGAATAAAGCAAAATCGTTGTTTTATGTAAAATGTTTCTCTTGCACTCTCGCCATTCTAATAACCAAATGTTCAGTAAATTCACCTTAAAGGAGATACGTATGCATCATTGGTTCCAAGGGACTTTGTTTTCTCTTTGAAAGAAATCTTCTGGAGAGAGCACTTTTCTAATTCAGTAATATGTACATATTACTATTCACCATACACTACCATGTACCATTCATAAATACTAGAGTACTAAAAGTCTTCTACTCTCCAATGCAACTTGGTTGTCCAGCACAAGAAGCGCATAAAGGATTACGACGACATTCAAAACTGAATTATTACATGAAATTATCTCGAATCATTACAACTGGAATAAATGAAGAATATAAATATGAAAGTGACTGAAAAAAGTAATTCGTGTATGATAAACGCTTAGTACTCAGGCATTCCAGGAAACGCTGCGTCCTAGGCAAAATTGCAATTGTTCCGGTTCAGCGACAAGAATGCATTTCTTCCTAGGACACGGCGTTTCTCCGACAACCTGGATTTAAATAGTCTGTAGATCCGTCAACCCATTCTCTGAAAAACAAGTTAACTGCAGTACAGACAAAAGATATTTAAAAACAGTTATGTTGCCGAAATAATAATCTCAATTTATTGAACTCCACATCTATACATCAATAAAAACCCACAACATTTATGTTCTGATGGAAATATATTAAGTGATTTTCGAGATATTGTATTGTTGGAACTAGTTGACACAAATTATTCTCATTTTCAGACAATTACCTTTGAGATTATAACAGCTTTCTGCGACGGAGGTATCAAATTATCTTTTGTTGTGTTCATGTTTACTTCTTGAATTGAATCTCTTTTCAGACGCGCTCCATACTTTTTTTCATCATCTGCTCGTAAAGTTCCATTTTTTAACATAGCAAAATATACCTATAAAAAGTTTTATATTTAGCCTTGGCATAGAATAAAACATTGTTCCCTTGAAAATCTTTGTATAACTAAAAATATTCTGACCTTTTCAGGGATTCCATAACTGTGAATCAGAAAATCCCTCTGATTAAGACCTGCTAATCTCTCTCGTTCTTCCGCTTCAAGTATAGGATCAGGTTGAAATGAAAAGAGAACATGAGTTTTGTGTTGACTGGTGGAACCGTGCTGAAATAAATAGAAAATTTGACTGATCAGTGTCACAACAAATATGAAATTAAATAGTTTTATTCATTGAATTAACAATGTACACAGTAATGTAGTTTGCTTCAATTGTTATAAAAATTATAGGTTAGATAAATTATATATATCACCATAGAAAATTATCGAAGTTAGAGTACGGCTTATTTATTGAAAAAAAGAGGGACATTTTACCAGTAAGGTCAAAAACATCATTAAATGCGGGTAAAAGATAATTGAAAATCATGCTGAACTTGTCAAAAAATTACAATAGCCTTTCGATACAGAAATCATTCCAAAATTCGTAATAACTGAAGTGAAAGATTTCTTTGTTTCCAAAACATCACTTTATTTGCTGGAGAATTAAAATTATTTTCATTCGATATTTAGTCATTTTAATGCCACTTGTACAGTTGCATATTTGATGTTTTTATTTTCAAATTCGCTAAGTTATACAACTACGACCAAAAAGGAAGTTGTCACTTGTGCAATTCGTTAGCAAAATATTTGTCCAAAAGCACAAAAATTACCCAATTGGTCTGCTTTTTTACTGTGTGTGAATTTCCCCCCCTGAACAAATATATTCATTTACATGTGTCTACAGTGTTTATATGTTTCTGCAATATAAATTTTTGCTCAGGAAGTATTTTTTCAAACCAACTTTTTAGTGCTTATTGCGTCTCAGCCATTTAGAATATCTAAGGAGTTTATTGGACAAAATATATTAAAATTGTCTTAACAGCTTATTTTCAAAGTTTCGACGTTTCCTCGCTAGACACCTGTATAACATTGGCCGACAAAATTTAACTTTTTGTCTGTTAAACGGAATAGAATGAATGTTTCTTGTGGTAAATTGAATTCTGATTTCAAATTTGTAGAGAATTTATTTGTAACCGAAAAGGTTTTTTTGTAACAGGAAATTAAAATGCCCATACTGATATAAAGTGAGTAGTTTTATTTACTTTACTTACATACAATTATATCAATCAAAATATGTTTTTAAAGATTGTTTTCTGTATTTCGCTTGAGGAACATCCGTTATTAATGTCCAGCAATACTCTGCAAACGTATTTCGATTCCATTTTCCCTGATAACGTTTTTCCTTTGTTGCGGTGTATTGATGGAATCGCTCACCGTGTTTGTCGCTCACAGCGCCGAGATTTTCAGCTAAGAAGTCGAAGTGTGAACCCATAAAATGTATTTTAAGAGACATGTAACATCCCAGAGCAATTGTGAAGCAGTTCGGACACTAGTAGTTCTCAGCTTTTCTGTTACCAACGAATTCAGTTACGATCTTTTGAAGCCACATTCATGTAGGCTTTTCAACACCATTCAAACTTTCCTTAGTGTCATAATCCTTCACAGACTCCTTTATTTCAGGTCCTACAAATATATCCTTCTTTATTTTCGGCTCACTAAGCGTAGGGAATTTATTCTTTAAGTACAGGAAACGCGAAAATATTTTTGGATTAAATCCACTGAGAACAATGATAATTGAAGCAATGCTTTCCCTGAATGCAGCTTCCTCATAGAAACGTAACGCACATTTTGTTTTAAAAGGAAAAATTACTTACTGAAAGTGGACTTTGTGTTGATCTCCCTAAGCCACCAACACCTGGTCTCGTTTTTGTCGGTCCTGGAGCTGGCCTAGATCTGGATCTGGGACTCTCTGGTCTAGGCAACATTTCTTTTCCTTTGAAACCTGGTCTCTTCATTGCTTCAATTTTTGCCTTGCTCTGTTAACAAGGAAAAGAATTAAACAACACCTTTCAAAACCAAGAAAGATTCAAGACTGATGTTTTTCAATTTAACAACTGCAATGCTTTATTATCATGGTACATTCAAATTGTTTGATAAGTTTTTTCATGTCTTTGACTTATTATATTGTAACGTGTGATGGTATGCTAAATTGTGTTAAGAAAATCGATAATTATTTCAATTCTAAAAAGTGAATCCATTGTTGAAATAAACCGCCCCCCCCCTCCGACTCGTAGTCGCTCACACTCTATCATCGCTTCAGTACGTCATAAGACTTCCTAGTTTGATACTCAGCAACGATGATTGGAATGATTTGGGAATGTTCCACCAAGATGCGGCAGCGTAACCAGTGAGAGACAATAAATGGGAGACGTCAGGAGCCTTCACAGAGGGGGTGGTGTCTGCTGCCAGTGCCAGTACCGCGGCCCGAGCCGGAGCGCGACGCAACCTGAGTGGGCCATACCTGCTTCCTCCTCGGTTAGGCGGCATGCGGCTTCGCGGCGCTCTCTTCGGAGGAACCGGCCGCTGTTTTTTGCGCACCGGGTTTCTGGGGATTCGGCCTCGGAAGCGGCTGTGATTGGCGGGCGCTCCGGCTAATTTGGCAGCGCTCTTCGCGGCCCGCGCGCGCGCCCTGGGGCCTTGGACGGCGCCCGTCCTCGGCCTTGGCCTTGGCCTTGGCCTTGGCCTTGGCCTTGACCTCGACCTCGTCGGCGACCCGCGGGCACGAGACCTCCCGTCCACTCGGGAGAGAGACCTGGCGTCCCATTGCGAGAGGGATCTTGTGCCCCGCCGAGTAAGTGATCTCGAATTCCGCTCAGAAACAGATCTCGTTGCCCGCTGAGTTAGCGATCTTGAGTTCCGGAGAGACCGATCTCGTTGCGTGATTCTCCGTCGCAACTGGCAACAGGAGAGACGAGCCTGGAGTATTGCAGCGAAAGGGGCCGAGGTACTGGCAATGCACTTTCCTTCCCACTGCGTTGCTCTTTGCTCAATGGATTCCAAGGAAAATACTAACGGTTATTCTGTCGATGTTTGGTGGAACATTTCTGAAGAAGACAACTGGGGAAAGCCCTGGGAGACCCCGATACGTTTTGTTTGTTTTTTTTGTTTTTTTTTGCACTAATTTTAAATTAAATGCTTTACTCTCAGCATAACTTAAAAATGTAAAGAATATAAACTATAGATTGCACTTTAGTGCTTTCCTTTGATTATTGTTTTACTTATCAACAATACTTTGCTCTAAATACCTGTAATTGTTTTATAAAAATAAATTTCTTTTCGGAAACGCATTTCAATATTCGTATGATGAAATGAATTTTTTATTTTACTAATTTAATCAAAGAACTCCGGTTGAAAAACAATCATTACTATAATAAGCTTTTGAACGATGCAAATACAGTTTTTAGTATCATTAATCATTAATGAGTACCATCAATTTACGGTAAAATATGTTTATTAAATTACAAATCAGCTAGTGATGCTACAACTAAACTTTCTTTCTCGCATTTTGTAACTTTTGAAATTTTCAAAAATTCAGAAAGTTCAACACGAATTGGAGATGTGACATTTCTGAAAGCATTTTGCAAAGTGAACTGTAATAACCGAGAAAAAATCAAAGAAAAAATATGGAGCCGTTTATGAGACCATCATTTTTTGTCTTCATTTCAAGTAAGATTATGTCATAAAAACTCATATTTATATACTTTTTAAAGATCCATTTTTGACGAACAGGTTTTATAAGAAAAAATATTTATTTTATGTTGGAGTAGTAGGAAAACGACGATAATTTTAAGTTTTCAAAAATATGAAAATCGGACTTCCTCCATTTTTATAAGCGGATTTGGTTCTGCTCGGAGAAGAAAAATTAAAGAAACAATTTGGCACTATTTTTGAGAAAATTCTGAAAATGTGGTTGGGGCTTCACATTAAGTACTTCCAAAATCAATAATAACATTAAAATTCAAGGAGGCGCAACAACAACCACATGGATGTGAGAACATCAATTTTGAAGAAAATCTTGCCTAGCCGCTAACATTGTTCACAGATACACTGTGGGACGCAGAAACAGTCATTTCCCCGTGGAGAATTATTTTTCATCAAGAACCCTCGAAACGTGGATTTTGAATACCAAACATATAAGGAAGTTATTTATTACGTAAAGGAGCTATAATTATTCATTTTTTTACAAGTCAGGACTAACTCTTTTTGTTGAAAAAATATCAATTATACGCTGCAGATATCCTCGCTTACATTGTTTCAGTAGTATAGAGGAGTTTTGCGGCTCTCACACACAACCAATCATTATAAAGAAAGGTAGGTTAGTTCTCTAAACAAAGAAAATTTCACGGAGACTTGACTAATAGCACAATAACTTTAAAAATGTGAAGGATTTGTTGAAAAAAATAATCAAAATATTCACGTGAAATGTACCCCGCAAAATTGGCAGCATTTTTAAAATCTATTGTAGTGTATTCCAAAACCAAGTGTTCTAGGTCCTTAAAACCTGGAATATCGAGTCAGCGGCATCAATGAAACGTTCCTCGCACTGTAATGTACAGGATGGGATTCTTAGGCATTCTATTACGTTTTTGCTGGTTCGGCGCTTCGCGAATCTACCCACCTGTTCAGAGGCGTGCAGAAGTGCAACTGAATAAGAAATAAAACTAATTTTTTGATATTCTGTGCGATTGAATTGCATTCTCTGTTCGGTAATAAGGTGAAATAATAAGTTTGTATTGCCAAGGGTGTAGGGAAGACGTTGGGGTTTATCATAGGAGAGTTCTGACACGGGTACACTAGTTTACCATACTTTATCTCCACTACGTAAGTAATATGCCAGAAAAGTATAAGTGATTTGTGGTTTTGCCTCTCCCAATTACCAGTTGCTATCAATCAGCGCATAAATGACCGGTTTCACTCGCGCTTCTTATCGCTCGTATGGGAATATCCTGAAGAGAGCACCTTCGCCCTCTCCGAACGTTGCAGAGACCTTTCTGGACCTTCTGCTATTACTTCTTTGCTTGTCGTATTTCTTGATCTCAACTCGGTCCTTGTATCATTGTTTTGGGTTTTGGGAGATCGATCTAGTCCCTCAATTTAATTTACATCTCGCACACACTTGCCTCTCAGGCCAAGATATTGTGGAAGGTTTAAGGTATAAATGCAATTCGTATCGAGGTAACTGGCAGTACTCTTTATCGCTTCACGCAGTTGCTCTGCCGTACTCACTTAGGTCGCGATAAAAAATGAAATTGTCTTTCCTATTCTTCCGATCACGCAGTTTTTATACATTCTGGGCGTTCAAGGAAAATAAAACCTATGTAATTCTTTTAGGAATCCTTTGTTTTAGTCATGAAAAAAAACAACAAATTTGGAGCAGTTTTTGAAAAAATGTTTTTTTTTATTGGCACTCGTGATGTCACTCGTTACGACAAGCAAAATTTACGCAAAGCCTATTCCATTTTTAAAAAAGGATCTTGCATGACCTTGATAGTTTTCAGAAAATTCATTTAAGATATAAATCTCGATCATTAAGTTTGAACTTTTGCAATAATTTTCGAAAATTCTGAGAGTTTAAATGTTTTTTATAAAACTAAATAATACAAAGGAAACAAAATACGCAACAAATCTGCATTTCAAGTTGAAATAACAATACTGCATTTCTTTTAAAATTAACTCATGATTCGGATTCATGAAATTGTTACGTGCAAGGTTCCTTTCAGTTTTAGTAGTTAAACTATAACAAATATCACAAGCTTAGATTTTTAGTTCCTCGAATGAATAAGACTTCATTAGAAAAAATGTAAAATGTTCATTGCTGGGACTAAAATTAACATTTTTAACACCCACATTGCGTATTGACAGGATATTGCCGATGATGCTCCTGCAAACGTTCTACACTTTTTGGATTGGCATTTTTTTTCCTGCAAGATGTTTCCTTCAGAAGGTCCTCTGGATTTGGTATTTAGAATACCGCGTGCGTCAACTACTTATCATTACTCTCATGAGTGTAGCACATGATTACAGCTGAAGGTGGCAGTGTTCCCCGCTGCTGGAAGGTGATATCCGGCGCCGATCCTCTTAATTTTTCCTCTTTCAGGGCTTTCCTACAGCCGGACTCCGTCCCAGCTGGGAGCAAGCTCTATGATTCCGAGTACACATTGATAAGTGTGGTAATGTAATACATGTAAGTGCAAACGTAATTCTGTGTGTGTAATTGCTTTGAAGGGGACAAGAATGAGGAAGGAATTATCGTGCGGTTTGTGCTTGTTTGAAACTAGTACTGCTCAGGCATATGTCTGTTATTGTTCGGAGATACTATGGAATACAACTATCGAGTAGTAGGCTTCTAGATTTCATCTGCAGATTGTATTCGTGGTCACTAATCCATCTTGGCCGGCGAATCTCTGGGTAATCCCGATGGCTTTTCTATCGTTCATTCTGTACATTTCGAACTCTTTATTAGAATGTCTAAGATATTTCACTCATTAATATTTCTGAGGGATTAACTGGGCCACTAAACCCAAACCCAAATACTTTGGATCAGTTATCCCATAGGAGCTTATTTTGGAAATGGACTAATAATATAAACTTCAAGCAATGTATGCCTTGCAAGATACACATTAATTTTCCTAAAATATACTGTATTAATACCCAGTGCTATGGTGTATTTGTTAATATGAAATGAATAAAAATTAAGATATTTATTTATTAATTGACGTGTAAGTTGAATTAAGGAAAACAAATTGCTCTTAACTCACTCAAGTTTAAAGAACGAAATAATTCCAGAATCGCCAATGAAGTCCAGCGGCATAACTGTTACAAATATGGAATGGAGCATCCCTAACTAATTCTAATACAAATTAAAACATAATTTCCACAAAAGAACTTTTACGTGAACAGTTTTGGTTAACCTCCTTGGCAAATGAAGCAAAATCTAACCTACTACTCCTTCAACTTTATGCTACTATTTTAATTT